GTTATGTCTATATATTATATAGATTATTGTGCTGCATACAAGGAATATTAGACCGCAACCACTTTAATAAATAAAATATTTATAGCTGTTACTTTAGCCACATATTTTATCGCAAATAATAAACATAATTGAATAACGTGTAAACGTATAAAATAACGCATTAAATCAAATTTCAACATTGTACAATCTTATAAAGAGACTGAGTTATGATAAAGAACTGCACTCGCGTCGTCGTCGCCCGCTAATTCTTATTTCCTCATTAGGTGAACGGTTCCCCGCTTGCGAGCTGCGCTTGCGCTCATTCAACAAGTCTCCTCGCCTCCCCTCTACGCCATTATCCCCCGACTGCCCCTTCAACACGCTGCGATACCAATCTGTTGAGCAAAATTACCTAGAGTGCACTCAGCTTCTGCTAAGTGTTTTGATTTATTGTCCTTTTATTGAACACCCGTCTGATCGTCTGGATTAAAACTAATAGGATTCTGCGCAACATTTTTAAAGTGACCATATTTATGTTGCGACTAAAGGTATACCTATTTATTTATAAAATATAACTCGATAATTTGAATTCCGACACATTTATATCACTCAATATGTATTCGACTGATAAAGGCTAGCAAAGGGGTGGTAGATTGAGAGGAGTGCTCTTGTAGCTAGAGTGTGGCAGAGGCGGCGGGAAGCATGCCGGTGGGCCCCAATTTGCTTCAGCATTATCCAATTGCTAGAATAAAATGGTTGGCGTGGGCCAGCGCGTGACCTGCTCGAATTCTGAGACCTTATAATACTTACAGGTCCAATGCAAATGATCCATTCTATTTATATGTGGTACTGAAGTGTATTTAGGTTAAGTAGAACGATAATTTAATGTAATTTATGCTTATCTACAGAAATTGAGTACGAACTTAGGAAGGACTAATACATGACTCGAATAACAGTCTCAAAATGAAAATTGAAGATTTAAAATTTCATATTTTGTTCATTCACAACTACAAGCAGCAACAGAGGGTCTCTTGAGCAGTACACGTAACTATTCATTTTGCAGTAGACAAAGATAAGGCAGTACACTTGATCACTATATTATCTAATTATACGATAAACCGACAAGCACGGTGGCATATAGTGACGATATTTTATAACCTACAACATTTTCTTAATGTCCTCTTAACTTGTACCCAGAATTGTATCAAAGTGATTACATTTTCATGTCATCAGCAGCTGACCAACTCGTGTAAGAATCATTAATCTATGTTGCTAATAAACAATTTGTGAAATAAATGTGGGATACGCTATCTAAGAGTTTATCTCGGGTCAGTAACGTACGGAATTAGAAAAACAGCATGAACGCAAGTTAGTAGCCACTGGCGCCTATTTACAAACCTACAAGATAACTTGACATTAATTAATTTTAATAAAAATGCAATTGTTTTTATTTTCGCACTATGTAGTATCGCACCGGGCGATCCATTAGGTAATCTACGAAGGTCACAGGCCAGATTTTGTTGCCAAGTCACTATTTTCTACATAAATAGGTTTGCAAATAAGTTTATTTTTTCTCTCAATATACATAATATTATAAGTACATTCCCAAATAATTATCAACGGGCTCACAGAAACCAAGGTGGCGACAATGTGAGAAAGAAAAATTTGATAGTAGGTACATCTGCATAGAATTTCATTACTATTTTTAAATTGTACTATGAAAATGCAAATACTATGCCTATGAACCGAAAGCATATTTAGACCAAAGTTTGCTAGTGCAACTGGACTAAATTGCCTCCGCCTACGTTTTGTTATTTATTCCTATCAAAGTTATTCTTATCAGAAATAGATGTATTGAATAAAAACCGTCCAATAACAAGTTTCTCACTAAGGGATAGTTAGCATTTAGACGAAGAAAACAAATCAAAGCTAGCTACTTAATGAAAACATCGTGTACCTTAACCGTAAGATATAGAGACGTAACAAACACACACTGACTTTTGCATTATATTCGTTAATCATAGTGTTATATTGATCAGTACAACAATTTGTAGAGTTAAGTATGGCTAGACTATCATAATTTCCCATTACAGTAAAGCTAACAATTGCATTAAAAATATAGGTAGATCAAACGTGTCTAGTTTCTGTGGACTGCCGACTTAACCCGCCTACCTGATCAGTCTATCCAATTTAAACTGTTTATGATAGGTACTCTGCACAAACAAAGACAGATCTACAAGTAGGAGAATACTTTGCTATGCAGCAATTAACAAGTAAATTATCCGTGAGTGCTTTCACAGCGCCCTGCGTCCGGCGTGCGCTTGCGCTCCCAATTGGACTTCCGAGCGCGTTTCCGAAATCGCTCCAACAATGAACTGACGCGACGATTTTAATGACTGTAAAGGGAGTAGTTATTGTTTTGTTATTATTACGGCACGAGACAGGAAACTCGGTAATTAGGAGTTAATTTACTTTGTTCCATTATTAGTTTTATTAAACTTTCTCCTATTATGCGTTCATTTCAGATGCGTCTTGTCTCCCTCTTCATGTCGATTTTGAGGGATTACAGATTTTAGTATTTGTTCCAGCTTAAAGTTTAAATGTGCTATTTAGGATTTTACTTAGATGTTCCTTTACGAGACAACTTTGAACTTGCGAGTTATTACAAAAAGCCTAGAAATTACGTTACATTTTATAGCTGGCTCTATTGATCCCTTAATAGTAATAATAGTGCAAAATAAAAGAGCGCACTTTCTCACGTAGCTCAAAAAAGAATTCAGGGATATTTTTTCTTTGACATCATGCAATAAATCGGTTAAGGTTACTAATAACAGGACGTTGAAAAGTGACAAAATTGAAACAGAACATGGCTTACCCTTCATTTATCAGAACAATAACAACTTTTAATAAAAACTGACATCTAGCAATGGCAACTATCTGATAAACATGTCCAAAAATGAGTTCATCCGTCTGTCACAAATATTAATAAATTGGACACGGATCACACGGAGGGTGCATTTGGGCGTGGTGTTGTGACAACTATGGCGGAAGAGACGTGTTAGCAAGGGCTACCTTAATACTTGGACCATTGATTTAGGTACATTTCTAAACACGCATCGACAGGCATTTTTTAACTATAGGGAACACAAAATGTATATCTGTGTTTAATCAATTAAATTCACGACCTTTGCTTTGCTTTTACATTGAACATTTATTTGTTTCATTTAAATGATAGCCGTAATCTGTCAAACGATCACATCGCTTCTCAAGATTCTAAGAATCGTAACACCGTCAAAGTATATCAGAGATGAAGTTAAAACATGAAACAAGTGTCTTATATACGTATTAATCCGTCTGATGGTTGTGCGTGCGCAGGCCGCGACCCGCAATTATACACCCGAAACAAACAGCACAGATCGCGTCCGTGCCGGTCCTGTGCATCCGTTTTAATTGTTACGCGTATTGTTCATCACACTGAATGGACATGACTCAAATGAGATCTGTCTGCGTCACGCTTTGGTCCTACTATGTATTTTAATGATCTGTGATATTCAGCAACAACAGTTCTAACGTCTACTGTCTACTGAGAAATAAAACCTGGCTACACATGTCCCATAACGAGTTGCCAAAAATCTGTTAGTAATTAATTTTATATCATTTGATAATGCTACTAAAATGAAAGACCCTCACAACTAATTTTTGAAGTTAATTCGTCTAATTATACCTAATTATTATTTAACCGTGACATCTTCTCACGGTTTGATAGCGTTATTTGGTTACATTAAACAATCTAAGTGTAAAGTCATATCGTTGATGTTTGTTTTAATTAAAATCTATCTTTAAGAAAAGAGTAAGGTAGCGGCACCTGCGACTTCCGGTCACTACCGATCCGTAAAGGACGTTGTCGAACCGTGAAAATTCGTTACGAGTCCTGTTGATTTTTTTTACTTTCTTCATCCGTGGGAACGAATGTGTCCGTTACAAGATTGCATAAGTTTAGTTTTACTTTCTTTTAGACGTTTTGTTTACAATAAATCACAAAATGTAACAACAGCGAAACGGCTGCTGTTCGCACTTGAAACGTGTCTCGAAGGAGTCTGCATTTTGATGTTTGTTTACGTTACCGAAGAAGCTGTGATTGAACGAGCTTGAACATTCTTACACATGTGAATGTGTGACATATAAACACACCAAATTTCCACTTACTACCGTTGAACACTCAATTACGATCAATGTATTTGTATATTGTTCTGATCTTGGGATTACACTTGAGACTGAGGACTAAATCAAAGTCTTGATTGATCTTCCTCAATAAAACGAGTATGGTTCATTCAAAACTAATTTAAATATTAACGTAAATAATGCATGTAGTTTGAACATTTAATTGGATTAAAACCCGCACCACTAATTATATGACAACACAAGTCATGTTCCTAATAAGGAAGCTCTTAGTTACTAGTCGAGGTAATTCTTTAATTATGTTATCATAGGGAATATCAACATAGTTGAAAATATATGGGAGAAATTCAAAAAAAGCTTAAAATGTCAATGTTCATTGGAGATAAAGGCTTCCCGGATGGTTGAATACGTAGAGGAGGTAGAGTTGTGGCTCTAAAGAGTTCATCAGGGGTTACATCCTCATTATTAACTGCACATCCTAAGACCAACAAAAGATAATACTTAGTAATAAATTGGGTGGCTAACATCTTCATGTTTGCAAATATTGCAATACTGAATGGGTTTTCATATTTTTGCTTAGTTGCTTGATTATGATTATTGTTTTAAAATGAATTTATTATTTTGTCATCATCGCTTTGCATATTTTAAAGTAAATAATAGCAGATACAATTTGTTGTTCTAGTGCAAACTTGGGTGTAGCTTATGGCAAGAAGGATTGGAAAATTCATGTCAAATCGTTTGCGTAAGTAATCACAATCATAGTATGTAATACTCAGTACTGAGTATCTCATCATATTCATGAATATAATGCAACTAACATATAAATTAATTTCAGAATGTCACATCAGAAACTGTATTTTCACGGGAACTCTACTGTGTTATGGGATGTAACGAGGCTTTAAATACTTACTTCCAAAAGTTAAGAGGTATGATTGCCTACACCTATAAGTATTTTAGCATATTACTCACGTCATAATTCTGCAGTTCCGTTTTTAAATTAATGATTCATTTTTCTTTCACAGAATTGATTGGGATACCAACTGCACCAGCTTTAGTGGCAGATAGTTTGACAGCTACGTCACTATCGTTAGTATGGGAGGCGCCGAATTTGGGTAACCTAAGCTACATGGTACAATGGCGTTACGAAGAACTACCCGGCACGTGGCAATACTACTCTAACTCTAGTCATTCCGATCAGTCCATAATACACGTGGACGGTCTACGGCCCTACACTAAGTATAGGGTAAGAGGATTACACTAAACTAAAGATCGGTCCTTGTAATGATAGATTATTGCTGCATTCTTTGAGCGATCCCTCCTGATTTATTTTATCTAATATAAATATAGTTCAATACTTTATTATTACCAAAACTTAATTACTTGTCCTTATTTTACCAGTTTCGGGTGGCCATATTCTTATCTGGTCGAAGTGGTACGGGAGAACCAGTATACTCTGCGCCATCAGTGGTAATATCTACTTTAGAAAGTGGTAAACCCAGCTCAGCACCCTCGTCTCTACGAGCTGCAGCCCCTGACCCCAGTCGAGTGGCCATCTCATGGGAGCCCGGCCCATTCCCTAATGGACCACTAATATCATACGTACTGAGACTAGCAGATACACAACCGAACACCAATGATGCACTTGAGGTATCTCAGGACATTTCTGTCTCCTGCAGATGATATTTGAAATCCAGAAGGAAAATGTTCTAATTTAACTTTTTTTATTTTAGGATATGCCAGCCTCGAACAAGACTCTATTCTACATGTTCCAAAACTTAGCTCCTGCACGCGAATATGAAGTGTCGGTTGCAATGCGAAACGCAGTGGGTGAAGGACCGAGAGCTTATGTCAAAATTTCCACACCCCCTTTACCTACCTGTAAGTCATTATTTCGGAAGAAAACAACTCTTAAATATTGGCTAAAATTAACTTGACAATTTATCTATTACAGCCGTTCCTAGTCAACAACCGATTTTAATTTTGGGAGGAGAGCAAAATGTTTTAGCCGCACCCGCTAATGATATGTTATCCGATCCTGTAGAGTTGTATAGCACGGAATACTCTATTGCTGGTATGACCAAGTCAAATCAATTTTATCTTTAATTGTTTCAAAAAAGTTCAAATACTTGATTAACTTTTTGCTTTTTTCAGGTGTCGGATTAGATATTTCAAGTAACTCTCTGTTCACGTCAGTATCAAACGGTGTTGTATATCGCAGTAGTCTTTCCAAAAAGAGTGATTCTGAACCAATACTTACACCCAATAATTTCAAGCCTCAAGACTTATCAGTCGACTGGCTAAATCGTCACTTGTATGTACTCGGCGAAGTGCACCACAGAACAGCATACGGATCAAATAGTACATTTACTGCAAACTGGGAAATTCTACGATGTAATTTCGACGGCAAGAATATGATCACTGCGATATCTGGCTTTAATTCTCGACCGATACATTTCGAAGTTGATGCTTATAATGGGTAGGTTTTATTTAAGACGTTCTAAAAATATTACTTTCCTCGTTTAATAAATCTTTCATTATTTCATTCTATTCTTGTTTGTTTCAGTTATTTATTCTGGGCACAACAAGGAGGTGACCGCGGCGGTCTCTATAGATTAGATTTAGCAAATATTTCAAACGGTGTTCACCCGGATGCTGGTCCAGAAATTATAGTCCGTGATGCACACCTTGGAGCTTTTACCGTAGACCATGCAGATTTTAGGATACTTGTCGCGCATCTTAGAAAGAACACAGTATTAGCTGTGTCACTAGATGGGTAAGGATAATCAACTCTAAAACACTAGAGTGTGCAAAAGATAATCTCTTATTCATTTACGACCCATTTATTCTGTTACAGACGAGAAGTAACCGATTTCCGAGCCAACACACAAACTCCGATGTTTCTATCAACACGTTCCATAGCTTACGCCGGTGGCCTTTTCTACTGGACTAATGGCAAAGAAATGCTGACGGAGGAATATCATGCACAAAGTGACAGTTATTTTCACAACGAGTACCCTTTAGCTTATAACACAAAGACAATAGCAACGAGACAAGTTTTGGTCGCTTTGAGAAGTTGTCAACCGATTCCAGTGCCTGTAAACCCACCGTTAGGTTTGCAAAGTGTAATGGGTATCAATCGTGCGAAAGTTTCGTGGTCGCCTCCTCATCTTTTGGGTCATCAGGGCAGTGGTGCTTGGCAACAGTGGACTTTCCATTTGCAACTTACGCATGTCAATACCGGCAATGTCACAGATATGTAAGTATACACTTATGTAAACAACAAAGTAAATTGGATTGCCTCTTTCTCATATTATATACTTTTTTTTAGTGAGAATATAACAGAGTCAACGTGTGTGGTCGAAAACTTGAAGCAAGACGCAGAATATGTTATCAGAGTGGCAGCTGTAACTGAGTCTGGTTCAGGTAATTATTATACTAAATGCTACTGGCGTTTTCCGTATTCTGCATTTTCTAATATTTCATGTTTTCAGGTCCATGGTCCTCAGAATTCGTAGGTAAAACTCTAGCGTCATCGCCGAACACACTACACAGCACATTGTTGTGGTCTGGACCAGATGGACTGTTGCAAACTGATCTAACAGGCGACAATTTACAAATACTAATTCATAGGTGAAAATCTGCATTTTTACGCTTAATACATCATTTGTAAGTGTAATATTTTCTTTTATTTTTACACATAATCTTTAATTTCAGAGGACTTTTAAAAAACCTCCACATCACCGACATTTCCTGGTATCGTGACTTGCTGTACCTGGTCACAAACGCTTCTACAGTAATGTGGTATAACACCACAACGCACAAAAGAGGTTTAATGTCTAATATGGATAATGTTGGTAGTTTAGCTGTAGATTGGGTGGGCAAGAAAATTTACTGGTCTAATCCGAAACAGCAATTGGTAAGTAATTAACGATAGCTTAAAGTTGAATTAACATTAAACTAGTATAAACTGAGGTTCTGTTGAAACTTTTGTCTATAGATAACACGAGGCAATTTAGATGGTGGGAATCGGGAGCCAGTACCGATTGTGACGGTTGCTAAAGAGCTTACAATAGACTCGTTAGGCGCATACATATACTGGAACACGGGACACGCAGTTGAAGCGGCAAGACTTAATGGAGAGAATAAGATGATATACTATCCAGCCCAGCTGTTTAGTGGGAAGCAAGGTACTAAATATTGTTGAAACTAAATCCTTTGTTTTTGTTAAAATGTAAAATCTACTAAATTTGTTACTTTTTTCAGTAATGGGGCTTACGGCGGATTTAGAGGAGAAATGGCTTTATTGGCTAGTAAGAAGCTATGATGGGTCTGAACTACACCGTGCTCCAACTGCAGACCAAATTAACCATGGAATTAGTGAGGTATGTTTTATTTATTTTTAATTAATTTTACCACTGTAGGCTATGTTGCTAAAGGATGTTATACATAGCATAAACCTTATCTTTTTAAGTATTAATCATGTCTACTTACATGTTCTTTCTTAAAGGTATCTGGATCGCTTGTGACCCGTTTATCCGGAACAGCGACCTTAGGTCCCTTGTGCTACTTCAGCGGCCGTCTAGTATGGGTGCAGGACGCTTCAAGGGCCGTTGTATCGGATCTGGCTGGCAGATACACCGCAGATCTGGTGCCACGAGTTCATGTCATCGCAGTCAGAGACCCCACCCTACATGCAGACAGTGGTAATTAATACATTGAATAATTAAGAAATACATTGCTGAAATCAAACTTACCTATTCCGTTAGACACAAAATATCAATTGATGTTTCGATTCGTGGCAGAACCTGTATATTTTTTTTTTTCAGAATCATTAATAGCAATCCCGGAGACAATAAATCCTTCGTCCATAACAGTGGCGGGCGAATGGGACAGGTTCAACGTTACATGGGATCCAGCTACACGTGTCAATGTCAACAATAGCAGAGTTTATTATGACGTCAGCTTGCATTTTCCTGGACAGTACAAGATTGAAGTAAGAATTTGTGAATATTAATAGTTAAAAGGATAGATAGAAGTAAAAAAATTGAGACATCATTAACGAGATTTTTCGTCGTATCTTTATGATATACTTTATACACGATCCAATCACGCGCAGATCCATTGTTAAAAAAATATTCAATAATACTTTCGTTCGTTCGTTTCGGTATTATTGAATATAGATCGATAATAAAAATATATTATCGATCTATATCTTTATATTTATATATATCTATATATTTAGATCTAAATGAACTGCCTAAACACCTGATTGTACGTAACGATGATATTCACTTACTTGACTGGGACTATAAGCAGCTAATTTCGTCCATGTGATGCAGAAAACAGTAGAGGAGTCATGGCTGGAGGTGGTATCAGTGTCGGTGGCTCCGTACAGTAGCATGGAGGCGACGGTGCGCGCCCACACGCACTGGGGCGGCGGGCCGGCCGCGCGCGCCGCGCTGCGCTCGCCGCAAGCACCGCCCTCCGCACCGCGCGCGCCACGGATCTACGTGCAACCTGCTATCAGGTACTATATAAACTTATCTGTTGCCTGTAATATTAACTATTGTTTGTAAGCTTTGATCAAACCCAGTCAACCAATCCTTATCGGTTTGTGAGGGCAGTCACTTGTGTTTCAAATATGTTATTACATTCAGTCGCGAATAATATGGTAGGAATACCGATCCAAAAATAAAAACTAATTGGAAAAGACCAGGAGAAAGAAGGGATGATCTCAGCTAACCGACAAGTATTTTTTTAACAGCGGCGGTCCTCAATCTGCTATATTCCGCTGGGGCAGCCCGGCCCGTGTTAACGGAGTGATACGAGGGTATGAAGCACAATGCTGGGTGGTGGGAGCGGACTCCAGTTCTCCCACTAAGCCTTCCGCCTGCGCCGACGCTCACCTATCACCCTCGCACACACAACTCATGCTGAGAAACCTGACGCCTGCTTCTAAATACTTTTTTCAGGTAACATATCAATGACAAATAACTCTCTTTAGTATGTACAAACACTTGTCTTTGCCTGACTAAATTGACAAATCAATTTTTAGGTTCGAGCTCACACTGATGCAGGATTTGGTCAATATTCCGAAGTTGTATCCGCATCATCCGATGATGTTAATCCCATCCCAAAAGTCATGGTCTCTTCTCAAGAATCTATCAAAATTATCGATCTCGACTCCGGTGAAAGTGAAACAATCCCTAAAAGTACTGGAATCCCGGTTGACTTTGCCGTATCTACCGAGGAAAACATTGTTTATTGGGTTAACGACTTGGAAGAAATATTTTCCGCGAGGATTAACGGCAGTGGACATTTTAAGGTACTTTTTACTTAAGTTACAACGACTTTTTTCTTTCTTCTAGTTTTTTCTTGGTATTTCATTTTTTGTTTTATTCTATAGCTCACGTCGATCAACGGATCAGCGAGCAGTATGTGTGTGGATTGGGTGAGCAGGTCAGTATACTGGACTCAGCTGGAAATTACATCCGTCGAACCATATGTTACTTACCGAGCTGATCTGGGTATGCCCAATACTCGACCTCACATCACAAGGGTCTTTTCCAGAAAACAACCGATTTATAGTTTGCAAATAGCACCTCTGCATCGGTAAGTACTATTCTATTTCATTGTATTTTATTTTATATATTTTGCTATAAGTTTTAAATTATTCTTCAGGACGCTGTTCTGGTATGAAGAAATGGAACATCCAGGGCTAGGTACAATAATGACATCTCGTTTAAATGGCTCCGACGTTAAGCCCTTCTTTAGAAGTTCTGAAACTACCGGACGTGAGTGTAACTGCCCCGAAAACCCACATGTGGCGAAAGCTTTTGTCATCGACATGACTAGGAGTAAAAATTATGACTTGTATTGGGTCGATCCTTGGCTACATCACATCATAGCTACAGATATGGATGCCTGTAAATGCAGAGTAGTTGTTGATGCAACTGAAAAGAAAAAATACGGATTTACACCAATGTCCATCACAGTTGATAGCAGATACGTTTACTGGTTTAATTCAACACAAAAAGAAATATTCTATACGACAAAACATCACAAGACAAGGATAGAAGAAAGAAAGACTGCGTATGGATACAAGATCATGGCTTTGGATTCGGGTAACCAGCCTTACCCACCGAGATTATGTTTGTTTCCTAAAATACTGATGCTAAGGCCGAAACTTATTGCGAATTCGGCGAACAGCATAACGTTGCATATGCCTTATGTAGAGAAGCCGAATCGATGTCACTCTTTGGAGTATGAAATGTCGACGACAGAATACACAATATTTTACAGAATACAACAACGAAACGACACTTCTTTGTGTGATAAAGAATCGTGTGCACACGTCACTACTACAAACACCAAAGTAGTGATTAATGATCTGAAACCGTTCACAAACTACACAGTCATGTTAGAAGCTACTAATTACTACGCGAAATTACATGAGGTGAAGCCACTTGTTGGTTCTCCAATGATTATACAAACAGCGGCTGAAGGTAAGAGATGATTCCAGAACTTAGATACCAATTAGAATACAAACAGAAAAAAATATAGGTTTCTTAACTCATTTCAGCCCCCACAGCCCCTAAAGACGTGACGGGAATGGTGTTAAGCCCGGTACTAGCGCACATAGAATGGAAGCCTGACCCAGGACTCTCGTACGAAGTACATTGGAGTACTGATGACTCTCCTTCACTGCCACATAAGTTTAAGGGTAAGTTTTTTGCGGATTATTCGACAATTATTCAATATTTGCTTTTATTTCCCGAAAGAAAAGAAAGGAAGAAAGAAAAAACATTTATTTAGCACCGAAAAGAGTAGTCCATACTCCATGATACTATATAGACTGTGATACTATTAAGAATAGTCGATAATACTTTACTCGGAAATAAAACCTGAGAAATCTGGTTCAGCAAACGCAATAGAATAATTTGTATCAAAGAGGTCTTATAGAGGATAGAATGTTAAAGATGAACAAGTGCAGTAAGAGTCTTTTTATCCAATCAACTTATCAATTGTAACTGTCCAACGGTTTGTCTATTCAATAGAGAATTAGGTCTAATTCCACACTCTGCCTAGCTTTTTGGGGAAAAAGACTAGGGAGTTTCTTTGGAAGGTTTCCCCCGTCAACAAAAAAAAGGTCTAGCTGCCTAATGCCTCTGTGTGAAGTCCACTCTAGCGCCATCTGATGAGCAATAAAAGCGATATGCCCATGACTAAGGTTCAGTATATCTCCCCAGAGCACAACACGTTCGAGGTATCGTCGGACCGCGCAGCCAACATCACGCGGTTGTCCCCGGGCACGGCGTACCTGGTGTGGGTGCGCGCGCGCTCGCGCCACTCGGCGGTGTGGGCCGACAGTGCGCCGCTGCGCCTGCGCACGTTCCCGCAGCCCGCGCCGCTCGCTGCCGTCGCCTCCTCGCCCGCAGACATACGGCTCCTGTGGCCGCCACCCACCACCTACCAACTGCACCAGTAATTATCCTCTTTACTTCTTAACTAACCTTTATTTTAGGTTCTTTCCAAATGCCTAATTAGTATATTAGTAGCCAAATTCCACTATGATGCGTCCAATAACTTGGCTAACAACAACTATACCTAACCGAAACTTCAGTCTATTGTCAAATACCGTGCACAACATAAGGCTCTACAATTACTGGGAAATTCTTTTAAAAACTCATACCTATACAGACAAAAAAAATAAACGTCGAACATAGAACCTCTCTTCTTTTAAAAGCAAAGTACAAACCTGAAAACCCTGTTCTAACTTATTTACAAATGAAGCAGGGTAATAATAACATTATCTCACACTAGGTATAGAGTGGAGTATATTGAAGCAACGCCGACCAGCTCGACATGGAAGTCTTGTACCAGAGACGAGCGGAATGAATGGGTGGCTACTGATCTACGGCCTCTAACCCGCTACCGCTTCCGTCTGCGACTGCAATACGTTACCAGTGGACCGCCTTACTACTGGCCGCATGATGACCGTTTCACTTTCGGGACACTTGGTAAGTCAAACTATAAATAGTTAATATGTGGAATGTATTCATGTTGATTGTGAACGGTGCCGTAAGGTGATGGCAAAGTAGAATAGATTTATCATCACTCCTACTTTTCCCACGAGTGTCGGTAGAACCAACTAAGAGAATAATCTCTTACCTAAAATGGTACGTTTGGCAGAGATCAGGATCGTTTGGAATATCCAACAATAAACTGTCATACTGCTTAACCATCATTATGAACCAAAGATTTGTTTGCTTAATAGGTGACGTTCCTGGCCCTCCAGGACCCTTACGAGTAGAGAGTTTTCGTAGTGGAGTGCTGCAAGTGAAATGGAATGAACCGGACTCGCGAGGCTCCCCAATTTTATCTTATCGCGTTTGGGGAAGACCACAACATAGGTAAATAGAGCTCAATATCAAAGCAAATATCTATTGATGTCAGTATTAGAATATCATTGAAAAATACTTTATTCAATTTAATATGATTCGTTAGGGTAAGCCAAGGAAGCGAAAATATCACCAAGAATCTCAGTGAGCTGTTACCAGCAAACCTGCCCTCGGATTTAGACGACAAGATGAAAATGCGCGTCGCAAGGGAAGGGTGGGAATTACTTCATAATTGTACCGGTAAGTGACAGAGGTTTTTGTATTTAAGAGCTGTACGGTCCTGTGATGGACCATACAGCTCCATTGATATGATCTCATAACGAACAATGCTACCGTTTTTCTGCTTAGCAGAGTGCGCTTTACAGAAGGCTCTGTATGTCCAAACACATTAGCTCCCAAAAAAATAATATCGATTAGTTTGACATTAGCAAATACTCTGAGCAACAGCCCTTAGTTCTCATTACCGCCTCCCTAACAGATGCATATGCGGTAGTTATCATTGACTGTGATCCCGTATTAGACAAATGGCGAAAATAATTATGACGTTTTCAAATGTAAAAATGAAGTGATTTGTATTACTTGTACAGAAACGTTCTGGTTGCTGAGCTCCGAGGGCGCGGGCGTGGGCTGGGTGGCGCGGGTGCAGGCGCGCAATGCGTACGGCTGGGGCGCGCTGTCGCCCGCCGCCGAGCTGGACGCCGCCGCCGCCGCGCCGCACCGCCCGCCCGCCGCCGCACTGGCGCTGGCCTTACTGGCCGCGCTCGCCGCGTTACTCGCCGTCGCCGCCGCCGTCTTCTACGGTACTGGACGCAATTACACATATATTTATCAACATTGTAAAAACAAATGGTCTTTCAAAACTCTATGGACGTCGCTACCGACTCAACAATTCTACTATTACTCTGTTTTCTATCAACTCTACCCCCTACTCTATCAATAAATCAAACTAAGAAGTTTACCATTCAATACCCATCGAAGAGTTAGTTAATGCAGTCCATTAGAGCTGAAAATTTTTTCACACGTTCCCGAATATGTCAACACTTTGCAAATAGACAGTCTATGTAACTTTATTAACTTAGCGTGTGTTATTATTTAACTAATTCCTTGAAACCAATATTAGCAGCATACAACGCCCGCGCTCGGAAGAAAGCGGCTGTTGCAAATCAAATTACAACGAATCCTACAAGAAGAGGACCCGACGTTGAACTTGCAACATTGAGACAGTTGCCGACCAGACATTCCACAAATATCCTTTACAATCAGGTAAGTAATCAAATTAATCATTCATACCACATAATTATTGAAGTTATTGCAATTTTTATCACACTTAAATATGGCACTTGACACCTGAAATGGAGTAATAATATTAACTTAACTCTAGGGTGTGCATTGCCCAACGGACGCGGAACTGGCCAGCTTGCCCCATATTCGCCGTGAACAGATAACTTTGACCAAGTTCCTGGGTTCTGGAGCATTTGGAGAAGTATTCGAAGGAGTAGCCAGGCAACTTAATGGTAGTACTGCTGACACTAAAGTGGCTGTTAAGGTAAGTAATCCCTTGACCTATGATCTATACTATTATCATCAATGGAAAATTGTAGAGGCTGTACCAGAGAAAAGAAATCTTATTATTTTTGTCTTACAGACATTACGCAAGAGTGCAACAGAACAAGAAAAGACTGAATTCCTAAAAGAAGCTGCCTTGATGTCGAATTTCAAACATGAACATATTCTACGCCTTTTGGGAGTATGCCTCGACAATGACCCCAATTACATAATAATGGAACTTATGGAGGGAGGCGACTTACTGAGTTATTTGAGGGCTAAGCGCGCTTCACTTGTAAGTAGAAAGTGATACACTTTTAGCCTGAACATGACGGCAGAACATCGTGGAGTTAATAAATAGTTTACTTTTCAGTACACCCCTGAATCTCTAACGCTATTGGACCTCTTGAACATGTGTGTGGACGTAACGAAAGGATGTCGCTACTTAGAAGAGATGCACTTCGTCCACCGCGACCTTGCGTGTCGAAACTGCCTCGTAGCCCACCGAGCTAACGGACGAGTTGTTAAGATTGGTGACTTTGGATTAGCCAGAGATATCTACAAGAATGATTACTACAGGAAGGAAGGGGAAGGTAATTTGTTTACATATTTTTTACTGCTAAAGTCACAATAGATAGAACGAAGGAGGCGTATTGTCCTGTTCCTTAAAGCAAAGAAAGGCATTAAGTCCGCCATTGTTTATTTTATAAAGAAGTGTAAAAAAACTGCCTCGTTAGCGGAGTGGTCGCAAGTGCGACTGCGGCGGCAAGGGGTATCAGGTTCGATTCCCGGGTCGGGTAAAGTATTACTGGGTTTTAAAAAAAATCTCAGTAGTAGCACGGAGTCTGGAATTGTGCCCAGTATATGGCAATAGGCTCACCCCCTGTTACATGGGACTCATAACATAAATAGTGAAAAGTGGGTGTTACATTGTACAGTGGTATAATGTGTATCTCTGCCTATCCCTTCGGGGATAAAAAGCGTGATGTTATTTTTTTTTTTTGTAAAAAAAAATCTGTAGTCTGATCCCCTAGCATACAGGAGTCACTTCCTGTATGCTAGGGGACTGTGAAAACACTTTCTAAAAATGATTACGCCACAAGTGTCAAGTACTGACTGCTACATATTATGTATTTGTAATATTCTAACCTGATTCATACCAACAGGATTGCTGCCAGTGCGTTGGATGGCAGTGGAGTGCTTAGTGGATGGAGTGTTCTCTTGTCAGTCCGACGTCTGGGCGTGGGGAGTACTTTGTTGGGAGGTAAGACACACACTACGAAAAAAAAAATAATGACAATGAAAAAATCTGACAGCTATTTAAGATAGTCTTATAGGTACTAAGTATTAATGCTTACTGTTTTTTCTTGTGTTTTTTGTTATTATTTCGATTTGTTTCTAGATATTATCATTGGGTCAACAACCGTACCCTGCCTGCACTAATCGACAAGTGCTGTCATACGTCCGAAGCGGTGGCACGCCTGATAGACCACCCAACTGTCCTTCTGCATTGTAAGTAACCTTGTTTTGAGAACAAAAGTTGGTTACCTGTAAGTAGGTTTTACAGTGATTATATTTATATTCTATCAGAAGATAATCAACACTGATTTATAAAGAAGGCTTACTACAAAGATTTTAAAAGTATTATTTGAACTCTATCTGTCCAATTTTTTTTTTTGACTAATGTAATATATTTTTTTATGGCATTACCCGGTAAACGAGCGGACGGATCACCTGATGGTAAGCAATCGGCATCGCCCATGGACACCTGGAACACCAGAAGCGTTACAAATGCGTTACCGGCCTTTTGGGGATTAGGAGTTTGAGGATCGTTGGGGATTCAGGAATTGGGGAGATTGGGGAAGGGGAAGGTAATTGGGCCTCCGGTAACCTCACTTACACGACGAAATACAACGCAAGCGTTGCTTCACGTCGGTTTTCTGTGAGGCCGTGGTATCACTCCGGTCGAGCCGGCCCACTCGTGCTTTGGCACGACTGACGGCATGGCTCTCCCACACTTAAAAATTACAAGAATTAATAATACAAAAACTACAAGAATATTCGCAGTGTGTTCTTGAAATGTACCGATCTAAAAACTGATTAATGAGCGGTTGTATGTTTGTGTCAGGTACGAGTTGCTGCAGAAGTGCTGGAGCTACGCAGCGGAGGCGCGGCCGTCGTTCCGCCAGTGCTTGCAGGTGGTGACGGCGCTGCGGGACAAGACCTCGCCCAACATCACGCTCACCGCCACGCCCAGCCCCGCGCCGCACTATCTCACCCTACTGCCCGACGGTAACACTCACTCTCTTCGCTCGGCATGCATTGCTACTCCAGCAGCCACCATTTATTAATGATCGCATGTAGCAACAAACTTCATAGCAGAAAGAATTCAAATAATATCGTTGTTAAAGTTCCTGTTGTATGTGACATAACAAGTATTGTTATGAAGTGAAAGAATATTCCGATGAAATTCTTGGAAATTACTTTACTCCGGAAACAATGCATTATTTCTTCATAGTGACTCATTTTGTTAGCATAATAATCATAAAGCTAAAGACATCCGCAATCAGCATGTCCTGAAAATTAAAAGTGGTTCTTTTATACAGTGGATATTGTACTTATTTAGAAAAATGTCTTCATTTCATGTAAACCAAACTAACCGATGTATTGTGCATGGGCTGCATGTTCAGATGCCGTCGACAACCGCACCTACCTATTGGACGAGAATGACAACGCCTGCTTAGGTTCGTGATAACAATCACTGAATGACATTACCAAGTTTTACTTTCTTCTTATATTTCTAACAATTCATTACTTCCAAAATATTACAGATGAAGATTTCCCGGACCACATGGAGCCCTCACGACTACTTCCAGAGCGAACCCCGAAATACTTAGAACTTATGTACGACAGCGACTCTGCTCAAGGCACTATATGTGATGGTTACGAGATACCGAGAGCACCAATCACGTACATGCCTGCGTTCTCTAGACACAGCATCGTGGGCGTGGCCCCGAACAGACTGATCAAGCCTCCCTTGTACAGAACACATTCCCTGCGGACCCAGTCGCGGCCGCCGAACGCCACGATCATTCCATTGAGGAACGGGCTGGTCAAGCGCGCCTCGCTATGCGAGGAGATCCGTGCCCGGGAGCCACGCCCCACCTCGTCTCGAGAACAGCCGCGAGTTGACTTAGACTTTGATAAACACGTATTCAAGACTCCATTTTGAACTGTGATATTAGAAAAAATAAATTATGCAATAATGATATGTAAATTTTCCACCGAATGAGGATACTGTTTTAGAATTAAGTGAATATTTAATATTATTTATTTTGTCTAGAGTACAGTTTGTAAATAGAGATGAATAAATTCGTTGTAAATATTAGTGTAAATAATCTACCGTGTTGCGATTAAGTATCTTTAGAACACATCACAAGACAACATAATAAATGCATTTAATAAAAGCCAACAAATTAAATATATCGCCTGGTACTGTGAATTTTTATTTCTCTTTTACTTACATAATAAATGTTTTACAATAGAAACTACGAGAAGGGTAACATTAAAACAAGTATATACCTATTAATATTTTTATTTGATATACAATACAAACAAATTTTTAGCTTAAGTTAGTTTTACTTCGAAACAAAAGTGGATTTCAAATAATTGAAATAGATTTAGATAAATTCTACAAAAATGTAGTATCTAAGTGTGTTATAGATTTTGGTATGTGTAGTGCACTAAAATGCAATGTACTTTTTAGTTGACTAATTACATAACAACGGTATATCGAAATGTACAATGCATAATATATGTTCCCTTGCATATAATTATTTGCTGTATAAACAAAAAGCAAATAAGGTAATATACATTACCAAAAAGGCTCACCCACTTACTTAAAAATTAGCTAAATAACTATTAAGTCTCACAACGTTATTGCCCCCTTGCTTCATTTACGCTCATTTTCTCTGTAACTTTAGGATAGATCACAAACTTGGAGCTTTAAACTCAGCACAATAACAAACTACTTGAATCCATCGTTAAAGAAAACTATGTATCAAACGGTGACGCCCGATCGCCATAAATCTGTATTTCTTTTGACAAGTGTGGTAGTTAATGACGAATTTAAATAACATGTAATAAATAGTATAATTATTATGCTGATACTAAATCCAAGTATTATATACTAAGTATATATATCATTGATATTTTGTATAGTTTGGAAAACACAATGATTATTTAGAAAGAAAGAATAAGACAGACGCGTTACACGGTTAAAGTAAGACAAAATTATATTACATTGCTAATTCTGTGAATAAATCGAGGTAGTCAATAACATTAAGATGTCAATATCCTCGAAAAAATATTGCTTTCGCAGAGATTAAAACTACAAACGAAATTTTATCTAATTTAATAAAAATAAAATATAACTTTCTTAACTACTTAACTATATAACTTCTATGTAGTAATACATAACTAGACTTATCTATTCGCCGTCTTCGGCAATTTCTTGCTTCATCCGTTTCTCGTGTTTCAACTGTTCGGTGGTGGTGACATTGCCACCAATAGCGGGAGGGTCGTGGTGGTCGTCGTCCTGTGCGTCGTCCTTGCTGTTCTCGTGTAGAAGCACGTACTCCCTCTGGGAGAACCCAAACTTCACTACGTCGCGCTCAAGTAGTTCCACATACCGACGGGCTTCGATTTTCTTATTATTTACGAAAGTACCGTTTGCAGACTCTGAAAACATAAATAAAGATTAGTACTCGAATCATTAAGATATGTTATAAATAGTGACTGCAGAGTGCACAGTAAACTGAAACTTACCTAAATCTATGACGTATGGTCTAACCCTGCGTCCTTGCGTGCCGTCGGGTCTCGTGAATGGCGTGGCGCGGTACTGTAGCGCGGCGTGTTGCTTGCTAATGGAAGGGTGCTCCAATGCGATGTCCACCACTTTCTTGTCTCGCCCGATCAGGAACGCTGACTGACGATGTATGTACAGGATAGGCAATGCTTTATCTCCTTTGAAGGGATAGAATCTGAAAATAAGGAATGATAATTGTATTTTTTTGTAATTGTTAACTGAAAAAGTTGGTACAAATATTAACACATGTCATGCCCAACAGACTCATTCCTCAGTTTTCTAAAATATGCAGTACGGCTCGGAGTCTATCAACTGGCTCGCCCCTATTACAACAACACTTAAAATATAAAGAGAGAAAAGTATATTTCAAATGTGTTACATCTCAAATGTGCACCTCAAGATTTAACTTCTGAGGAATAAAAATTATATGTATTTACCTCCATCTCCTCTTAGGCTGCTTAGCATCATCAGGCTCGGTGTACTTGATCACAACTCCATTGACCGTATTGGCGTCGGCGGTCAGTTTACCAGACAAACCAAAGTTAGGCTTTTCCTTATCTGCTGAAGTCTTGCCATCCTCATTCTTAACCTCTGCTTTACCCCAGTCGTATTCCTTGTCATCCGCATCGGCGAATCTGTAGACATTTATGATAAAAGTTAATACCACGTGAGGTAAAAGTCTGCATCAAAATAAAGAAACTCACAAAAAGCAAATCACAATAAGACAGCATTTAAATCAATTACATTCTGTAATTCGGTGGTTCAACAAACCTGGATTTGCGATCACGTGATTTGGGCTCTGTTTTGATTGGAGGTCGGCCACGGTCGGCATTCCGATCTTCATTTCTCCCAGGCCGGTCTCTCCTGTCATCACCTCGGTCTCTCCGTTCTTCAGGCCGCGCGTCCCTTCTTTCTTCTCCGCGTCCATCTCTTCTGTCTTCACCCCGACCGTCTCTTCTCTCGTCTCCTCGGCCATCCCGCCTTTCGTCACCGCGACCATCTCTTCTCTCGTCAGCACGGCCATCTCTGAACCTATCTTCTCTCGCGTCTGGTCTTTCTGATCGGCGCCCGCGATCCTTAAAACGATCTTCTTGACTTCGTGATCTGGAACGATCCCTGAAAATTCAGATTTTATTAATATTCATGTTTATGTCTATGTAAGCTAAAAGAGTGGGATTTTTGCCTTAATATTAAGAGTCTGTTGATTATATTTCAAATTCATTGTATTAATGATGTTGTTTATGCATGAAAAAATGACTTACCTGTGCGACGCAGGCTTGTCGGGTCTGCCAGCTGTTCCCATCACCTTCTCACGACGAACTTCACGTGTCCTGTAATTGATAAACATCGAACATGATCAACTGCATTATTGTTTCCTAACACAGATAATTATACAAAACACTTGGTCTGCAATTGGGTGCACCAAACAATGAAATTACTTCAAGCTTTAACAAAAATACAACAAAAATAATAATAAATATGTAGGATCAGGGTCCGAAATTATTTGAAAATAAAACAAAGGGCTTCACACAATCACTTAGTTTATTTCGATTAAATGAACTTACTTTCACATTAATTTTTAATTATAATAATTGAATAATTCAGCACTGATTATATAAAGGAAACACTCAAATAAAACCAACAATAAAATTACTCAGCGATTGCGTAACGTGTGAACTGGGCAACGATCGACGAACGACTGACTCGAGCTTGCGCTTGCGCTGCTTTATATATCACTCGGTGGTGGGGTTGAAGTGACGTCGGTCAGTTGTTTGTTCACTGCTCGCCCATTACATTCGCAGTTTACAAAATAATGACGGCGGCGCCGACACGGCCATACTGACGTACGCTCGTCCTCGAGCGTTTTCCGAGCATCTGGGAATAAGATAACAACCCGTTCGATCATCCTGGCATTTCTAATCTCTATCTAGTATAACCTTTAACAAAAGCTTTCAATATTGTGCGGGTTCGGTTAACCCTTCAGCTTACCACAACTACTACGTTATCATCACTCATCAGTATTAGAACTGGAGACGATTGTGCTAGGCCGGATAAATATCCCTTTAGCGCATGCTAGACTGGACATCAGTCCCTTTAGCGAATGCTAGACTGGACATCAGTCCCTTTAGCGAATGCTAGACTGGACATCAGTCCCTTTAGCGAATGCTAGACTGGACATCAGTCCCTTTAGCGAATGCTAGACTGGACATCAGTCCCTTTAGCGAATGCTAGACT